ACTTGGTCACGACCCACTTCCAGAGCCGGTGGAAGACAATCCTCAACACCGACTCGAACACCTCGACCGAGAGATCAGCTTCCCTGTTGAGAAACACTATACGACAGTGAGACCAGAACTGTCGTTGCACGGGTGCACCGGAACCTTGGGCACCCGCCGCCGGGTGAACTGAAGAAGTTGCATGCTCGCCATGAACGGCGTTCGCAATCGAACAATCATGGCAGTTGAAGATTTGGTGTGTACCTCATGCCAGCGCACAAGAACACCGGCAAGACCGCCGCCTGCAGCTATACCCGATGTGGGGTATAGACAGTTCGCTGATGCTATCCAAATGGACATCGTGTACCTCCGTGGCATCGCCGGGCGAAACTACCCAGTTCTGGGGGTGATAGATGAATGCACTCATCTGCACCAAGCAGCAGTTCTTGAAAATCGCCTTCCAGGTGAAGTCCTCAAAAAGTTCGTCCGCATTTGGGCACAGCCTTTCGGATATCCTCATTTGTCCGACTGGACCCTCATGATGGCAGTTTCCGTGGTGAGTTCGAAGAGTTCCTTGACACCACCGGAACTCAGACTGACTACGTTTTTGCTGAGGCACATCATCGCATCGGTTTGGTAGAACGTCACAACGCGCAATTGCCAATACTGTCTTCTCCAAGAATGCCTGCGCTTGGAGCACCGGCAGGCCTCCGTTTATCGCTGCTTTTGGTCGCATTACGCGACATGGTGGTTTGGACCTTCTCTCCGATGACCACAGCTTTGCAGCTGGTGGAACTCAACAACACATGCACCAACTGGCAGATGTCTTACGCTCAGAAGCGCAACAACAGATAGCCGCAATGAAAGTTGATGGAGCCTTTCGACGAGCTCTACTATGTAAGACTCAACCTGCATTACGGCTGCAGCTCTCCATCGGTGACACCGTCGCTTACTGGCGCTGGACATCCCGAAGTGGGAAGAAGACAGGCGGCTACAAGTTGGCCAGGCTCCTGGGTTTCGACCAGGACGCCAAATCCCTCTAAATCCAACCAGGGACCAACACCGTCAAGATAGCCAGAGAACAGGCGCGACAGGCCTATGGTTTTGAGGCTTGGACTCCAGACTCAGTGGACCTTCGAGCACTGCGGTCAGCCTCTGAGAACATCAAGGCTGGGATGTTCGAAGATGAGACCTTGCCTGTCCAAGAAGATCCGTACCAACCCCTCGGCAACGACGACCATCTCCGAGAGGTAGAACCTGATGCACTACAACCGTTTTTCACACCACCACCACCAGAACCTCGTTCAAGTCGTACCTCATGTACCACAACCTCAACAAACACAGCATGAGACACCTCCAACCACACTACCAAACATACAGCAAAACCACGCAACAACGCAGAACATTACCATCGAGGTTTCCTCACCAACATACATACAGCTACAGCGGACAAGCAACACATTTGGCATGACAGGCGAACAGCTGAGACGGCCAGCTGTTCGAACACCAGTTCGCCGAGCACATCGATCCAGAACACCAAGCAGAGCAGCTCCAGCACATGAGCAAGCACTGCAAACGACACCGGCGCAACCACGCGGCGCTGGAACAGAAACACCTCCGTTACCAGCGCCGGCACTTGCGCCAGAGCACATACCAATCACAGTCTCCGACGGCAGTTCCGGAGACCTCGAACATCAAGTACCTCAAACACCAGAGGACTTGAACCCACAAGCAAGCACGCCAAAAGCTGCTGGCAGTTCCGCGACCTGGAACACCCTTGCCTGATGACATCAGAACAAGGAACATTGAGCACACAGAACTACCGAGTGAACAACAAGCACTCAGCAGTGAACAGCCGCAGCCACAAGAGACGTCACACTCTTCGCTTGCAACAAGCAAAGTGACAAGCGCAGGCCAAAATGGCAAACCGACTGCTAACACGGTGGTCAGAATTCAGCAAGCAAGCCCTTAGGCCCTAAGCACTACAATTTCACCACAAAGCACAGCAAGCTCCAATGCTATACACCGACGAAGGCGTCATGATGAACCATAAGCACTTCGACGGCAGTACAGACATCTACACGCCTTACGCATCAACCACCTGCTTCAAAGCATACCAGGCCAATGCCGACTACCAAGGAGACGGCGTGAATGAAGACTCTGATGCATCCCAGGACAACATGTCCACTTCAACCAAGCCAGACACACCTCTGACTCGGCAGCAGCAGAAAGCGCTCGACAAAGAGCTGCCTTGGCGTGTCATTGTCGACAAAGGTGGCGACTACCTTGCAGCCTTCATCAAAGCTGCACAGGATGAAGAGAAGTCCTGGATGACCTTCAAGTCCGTGGATCCCATCGATCCCAAGACGGCTCAGGAGATCATGGCCTCGGTGCGAAGCATTCAACAGTACATCACAAGAGAGAACACGCATTGGATTCCAACTCAGCTGATGTGGGCAGACGGATTGACGAAGTATTCCGTCAAGCTGATGAACGTGTTGCATGCGTGGCTTCAACATCCCTATGTGCTGTTGAGAGATCAAGCCCAGAAAGATACCTCAGTGTGAAGTTTCGTGCGGATGAGCTTGATGCATGGTCGACCGTAGTGCACTGGGCCAAGAGTTCGCATAAAAGGGAACCCCTTTTTCACTTTGCGCTTTGTTCGAGCGATCGTTTTTCGCCATGGCTTGTTGATTCTTTTTGCACTTCCTGTCGCAGCACACACGATAGTGAGATAAGATATCAAATATCATTATTTGCACAAACTTAGCCATTTTCACGGCAATGGCACACCATCTCCCATCAGACCCATCACTCCAATCCACACATAATCGAACGAACCCCTGTGACTGAAGTTAGCCCTTGGAGGGGAGTGATGAGTGAGTCGGTCGTGAAGATTTGAATTACTGTATTGGTTTAACTCGACTGGTAGTGCTCAATAAGATCATGAAATACACTTCAACTTCACTGGCCCTTGCTTGCGCTAGGATCATGGAAGCAGCCAGCCCGGCCCTACAGAGGGGGAACTGGAGTTGCCGGCCTCGAGCCTCAATAAACTTTATGTTGTGCATGTTGCCTCAATTACTGATTCTGCAAATCCTAGTTGGATGCCCCGGTCGGCCTAGCTCCTGAGACTGATGAGGCTGATGGGGTGGAAGGCATACTGTCGGGCAGGTGTCGTGGGTGCAAAAGCATGACGTCCGTGAGCCGCTGGCGCTGCCTTTATTCTCAAGCGTTCTGACTTTTCACGTTATGGTGATTGGGTGGTGGTCATGCAGTCGCACATAGCAAAAGTCTGCAACATTCAATCTTTGCGCGGTTTGGTGGAGACAAACCAGCCAGAAATGTTCCCACATGAAGTCACCTATATTACATAATATTACATATATATATATATCTTGTGGAAGGGACAACGGCCTTCCTGGCAGAACAGACAGGCAGAGTACCCTACAGCGCTTGAGAAGCAACATGGTGTGAAAGGAAACCGAAGTAGACCTTCCCCAGTCTAAGCTGTGACGAGGAGGTTCTGGCAAAACATGGCAAAACAGAAGCTGCTTGGGTAGCAAGGCTTGGCAACACTAGATCACAGAACCCTCAAGAGATCGGGGCACGTGCCATGCCATCGGCTGACAAGCCCTCAAGGACCGTTTGGGTGGGTGTATCGGGTCAGGCTACCAAATAAGGACACTTTGCTGCAAGGAGTGGGTGTTCAAGAGGAACTCTAGGACTAGGCCTTTGACACCTTCGACGGCGTTTTGGGTGGCTTACGGTCATCCAGCTTGATGAGGCTGGTGACGGGGCAACACACTCCAGGCACCCAACACATCCCACTGCAGGAGGAGGCACGGAGAGGTGCCCAGTAATGGCACGTCTGGCTCTGCACGTGGCTTCCTCTCAATGCGATCTTTGGGATGTGGAGAGGCTTGGCAGCACTAGTTGTTTGCAATTTTGTATTCGATATTTTGAGATACTTGAGGTCCTTGAGTTTGCTGTTTGTGCATCATTAATCCTTTGGTATCAATATCAATATATTGAAATGTGCATTTTTGTGTTTTTGTAATTGGTCACATGTATGTAGCTTATCTTCAAGTTCTCCCGTTGTGTTCGTGAATGCTTGTGAGCAGAGGTCACAGTCGTGTTGCTGATTTGCATCTTGCCGGGCAATATTCGGGATAATGATCAATGATGAAGATGATGGATGAAGAGTATGTGATGGATGAAAAGTATTTATATATAATGTGCCAGAGGAACCTTTGAGGGAAGGGCCAAAGGTTACAGTAGAATAAAGTACAGGCGAGTCATGGGAGAAAACAATTTTTCAATTTGCGGTCTGAGTCAGCAGGCATCGGACACCCGATACTAATAATATCGATGGCTGCAAAGCCCAGGCTTTGATGAATATATTGTGTATATAATATAATCATTGTTTGGGGCCGGCTGTGTTGCAGATAGGCTGGGCATGGCTTTGCACAACATTGACATGCAGCGTCACCTTTAAGGCTGTTTGCAGCTGGTACTCTTGCTGAGCCACAATGATCCTGCAGATGCAGCAGCTCAAAGCCAAAATGCACGGCTGTGGCACTACCTGCAGGCAGTTTTGCAATGTTTTGCTTAACGGCTATAACCGATATGACGGATATATATATATATATATTTACTGTATAAATACATATATCTGGTGCTACTCAGAGAGGTGGACTTGACAGACTCCCACAGTCAGCTAAGGCAGGGGATAAGCAAAACCGTCAACATCGAAACACATGTTTTGGGCTGTTTTTGGATGTTTTGGGGTGTTTGAGGCCCATGCAACCTTGGTATAGTAATGATCTACACTCAGAATCAGCGCTTGGATCTTGGAAAGGTCCATGAAGCCAACTTAACGGCTCTCGCGCTACAGCAGCGGGAGTTGGGGAGCCCAGAGGCCTTTGCCAGAGATGTTTCCGCTTGAGGCTTTTGAGAGAAGTTTGGTATACTGTATCCATTTAAGGGCTGTTGTGCCGAATATCTGAGCTGAAGCTAAGATGTATAAACAGAAAACAACCTTTGGATCACAGACAGCTCGTTTCATGTCAACCTGCTCTCAAGCAAGTGGATCATGTAGCCAAGAAGGCCTGAAGCCAAGGTGCTTCAGATCAAGCGAGTTGCACGGCTCCACATGGGCCACATGGGCAAGTGAGTTCATGGATGGGAGGTCCGATCAGACTAAGCGTCCCGGGGAGCTATTGGCGGAGAGGATGGACAACCTTCACTGTTCTCCCTTTGGCCGGCGCCAGGACTCACCAAGCCTCATGCCGTCCTCCAAGCGTCCACGTGGCGCAGGCTTGCTGCCGTCATCCTCAGTTCCACAGTGGCTACCAGCCTTAGCAGATGAAGATCCAGGAGAGCACATAGATGAGCACCACGCACCGCCAGCCAACGCATCTGACTGGCGCATGGTACTTTACCACGACCGAAATGTGGTTTTGTACAACCCTGATGAGAAGCCTGCATTTCGTTCGCGCAGACTCTCGGTTGACGAGGCAAGGGTCCGGCATGGGTTGGTGTGGCTTTCACACTTTGTGTCTTCAGACTCTGTGTGCATACTTGATGAACTAAAACATGTGTCAGACTGTGTCAGCCTTGATTGCTTGGCACTTCACACTTGCTGGGGTATTGTTTTGTGATGTCACCTTGTGTTTCGTCTCCTTTTTGGAAACAGCCCGAGCTTGTCGATGTGGTGGGAATTGCGTGGGTAGTGATGTGGTTTATGCACGCACACACTGATTTTTTTGCATAGTGCGTCTGACAGGGCGTGTACATGTTATTCGTTACGTATACGTTACAAAGGCAATCTGTTTGCGATGGACCAGAACCAAAATCAATAGGACCTTTCTTCCTGATTCCTCTATGTGCAGGTGTAGCAGTGTAGCCGGTCCTAATTGTTAATTGATATCAATTTAGGCTGATGACTTGTCAGGCAGCTCCAGGCACGGAGCTGGCAAACCCTTCAGGGCGCTGCCCCCTTTGTCGACAGACGGTGGATGCTCGTTTTGCTTTCGCAGCTCAAGCATACTTCGATCTGCTCCAGGGACTCTTCCGCTCAGGTGGTCGGGACAGCACAGAGGGGGAGGACATCGACCTCCTCTCTGAGACCGACCTGTACAGGATACTTGGTGTTTCCCGCAATGCCAAAGCGGATGACATCAAACGTGCATACGGAAGCGGTCCTTGAGGTTTCACCCTGACAAGAATCCAAATGACAAAGATGCCAAATTGAGGTTCCAGAAGGTGGCAGAGGCCTTCAGTGTCCTTTCTGATGAGACCAAGCGGGCCAAATATGACAATTCTGGCGACATGGACCTGGAGGGTTTTGACGTCGAGACCTTCATGGAAATGGTCCATGCTGCCGGGCTCAAGTTTCAAAGAACTTCCGATGATCGTGACGATTTTCAAGATGACTCCGCTCGCGGTTTGGACCGCTTGGGTGCATCTGATGGTGAAGAAGCAGTTGAAATAGAGGCCATTGGCGACTACGACAGTAACCCTTTCTTGCTGAGTGGGCAGGAAAAAGCTGCAGAGGTACCAGTTGTTGCATCTGAGGGAGGGGCAGAAGAAGAGAAAGCAGCTGCAGCTGCTTTGAGACATCTTCCGGCTGGCTTGTTGAACACGGGTTACTATGCCCGTTTTTTTTCAAGAGACACGGATGTTGGGCTCTGGCAGTTTCGGAGCAGTGTTCCTGTGCCGCCATGTCTTAGACGACATGATGCTTGGGGACTATGCTGTTAAGAAGGTGCCTGTGGGCGACAACAAGGTTTGGCTCCGCGACATGGTTCGAGAGGTGAAGACATTTGAACGTTGCGGAGTTTTGCATTAGCATGACGTTCTTTGTTTGTGTGTTCTTTGAGAAGTAGGTTTGCAATGGTTTGCAAGCATTTTCTTTTAAAGTGTCAGCTGATCTCCACCGTCTCCAGCAATCAGGTTTACATCATCCCAACATTGTAGAGTACAAGCACTCTTGGTTGGAGCTGTCGCGGAGGTCTGAGTTTTGTCCCTTCGTGCCCTTTCTTTTCATCCTGATGCAATACTGCAACGGGGGCTCCTTAGCCGAAATCATATGGCATGACGGCAACCTTGCCACGCCCAAAGAGCCTCTCTCAACAGAGCAAACCTGGCATTTTCTGCTGGATATTTTGCTTGGCCTGCAGCATTTGCACAGGCAAGCAGGTTTGGCCAAAAGTTTTGCTCGTCAAATTATCTCAAATGCACAGATTTCCAGATTTGGTTAGTCGCTTTGCTCACAAGAATCAATTTTGGTTTTGGCGTTCACTCTATTCTTTTTGTGGCTTTCGATGGCAGTCAGGCAAGGCATCCTCCACCGTGACTTGAAGCCGACCAACATTCTGCTCTCGTGGCCAGAGGAGAATAGCCGGCGGACCCAAAGTCCAAGGGCTTTGCTTAGTGACTTCGGCACGGCCCAAGCCTTCGGTGAGCCACCCGCCAGTGCTACAGCCGCTGCATCTCGGGGGTACACTGGCACGGTGGAGTACACTGCTCCGGAGCTCCTGTTTAGAGAAGATGAGCAGGAACGTGAGTATTCAGAAAAGAGCGACATGTGGTCCCTTGGCATGGTTCTCTATGCCATGTGCTTCGCATCCTTGCCTTTCTTTCATGACGACCCTCATGTGCTCAAAGGCCTCATCAAGGCCTTTGTCGAAGAGAAGCGGAGTGCTAGCCGCGCCGAGGCTGCTACACCAAGCGCAGAGGAGGACGCTTCCAGTTGGCTTCCCTTTGACGCTGGGGGTCGCATTGGACCCTTGCGCTTGGTCCTTGCAGCCTTGTTGGCACTGGACGCACATCGTCGCCCGGCCACCACAGATCTCCTGGAAAACCCAGTCTTCAGGCGGCAAGCCAGGAGATATCTCCGCAAGCAAGAAGACAAGAGCACTGCTTTGCCCATTGACTCCTCATTCAACTGCTTCGATTGAGCGGCACATTTGTGCGCCATGCGCCATGTTTCAAAAAGGTGATGAGGCGGCCGCAGCGTTTTCTCGTTCCCTGCAGTAGCATATGCAGGCCCACATTGAGCAGATGCTGAGGATGAAATCCAGAGTCTTGAACTCCTTTGAACTGGCAAATCAATCATGGCTAAGATTCAGCGATCACAATGCTCCCTCACGTCCCACCAGATTTCAACTGCTTTGCCTTTACCTATAAGCCTATAAGCCACTGGCCAAGTCGTGCCAGTGTCCGCTTGAGGTTAACGAAGCTGTTGGGTCAGCTCAACACCTTGCTGGTTGGACAACAGCTGCTTGGTGGCAACAGAAGGCGCATGCACAACTTTTAATTTATGACAATCTTCCGAAGGTTGGCTGAAAGCATTTGGGTCACCTTTGCACAATCAAGAGAACATCGATGTACAACAGCATAACTTTGGGCGCAATTTGCACTCAGGAAGGAACTCCGCCAAGTGGAAGACCAGTTGGTTGCACCAACCCCCGCGCCTTTACCACCAGTGGTGGTGGGCACAGCCGATACGGTGAGCCTCTGAGATTTCATGCGAACCATGATTGTTTTCAGGTCGCCTTGCCCACAGATGATATGATACAGTCAAAACATCAGTGTCTAGGGTTTGGGTATGTTAGGATTGGGGTCGTGCACCAAAATGATGCGAAATCTTGGGAACGAGGAGCAGCAGCATCACATTTTTTGAGTATGTACTATGTACTATAGCAGCTAATTATAGCATTGGACATTGATTTCATCATGAGCCATGCTGCTGTGAGCCATTCTTGCAGGCCGTGACGCGGAAGATGAAAGAGATGGCCAAAGAACATCAGGAAGAAGTTGAGAGGCGACAGTTGGCAAATTGGTCGCAGTGCCCGATGCTAGCACATCGTGTGACCAATGCCGACCAATGCCCAAAGGCTTTCCAACCAGCTGGCTCGGACAGACTCAGAGATGCAATAAGTCCTATGCTGCTACTTCAATTCCATGAAGACACAAGGAAGTTTTCAATCTGGAAGACCTCCCAGAAAGCAAGAATGAAGAGGAGGTAGTACCGCTGGAAGACCTCCCCACGTCTTCCATATTGTATAATAGCAATGGCCTCCAAGCTACTAGCGATGGCCTCCAACCTAATTGCAAGTGTTCAATAAGTAAGTGTTCAATCTCCACTGTTCAAGGTATCATGTCATACCACCCTGGAGGCAACAGCGAGAGATCCAGTCCTTGCAAGCTGCCCTGAAAAGCCTTTCGGCACAGCAGCAGGAGCACGCTGTTTCGATCCCAGCTGCAATACCGCCACTGGAAGGAGGCGAGGTTTTTGATGGCCGTCGCTTTACAGACGTGATTTGGGATGAAAGCGGAACTTTGTTTCATGATGTTTCATGCAAGTATAGCCAGAGTAAGTACAAATGGACATAACAGATTTGTCTCGTATGTGGATGTATGAAACGCATGTTTGGGCCCCTCGCAGTGACGTAGTGATACGCTTGGAGCGAAATCATGTCATATCAGCCCAAGGGAGGTTACCAGCCAGTGACTCAGGTGGCTCTACAAGTGAGCATGCTGCAAACCAGGAGCGGAGCGCAAGGTGCAACTGGCTTTCAGAACTGTAGGGCCTTTTTCACGTCATAAGACGGGAACACTGCATGTAAGATGCAAAGGAACTTGTCCGGTCCACGTTGAGACACAGTACTTACTCAGTACTTCCCTCGCAGAACCGATATACTGTAATTAGTCCCCTCACAAGATTCTCCCGTTGTGCAGGAAAACATGATGCGCAGAAAGATGCAGAACATTTGCGACCAAAAGTGTGACACCAACATGACGCAGAAGTCACAAAAAACAATACAGAAGCCACATGCATCGACGCCAAATGACACCAACATTGTTTGTTGATTGTTGTGTTGGTCTTTTTTGAGCTGTGCCTGAAAATGGTATATACCCCCCAAAAACATGTCTTTTTGTGGGGTCTAGAGTCTGGACGGTCCAGTACATACGCAAGTCAGTGGAGACTCATTCTTAACCTTTTCCTGTAAGTGGAGACTCGTTCTTTGGCAATTGAGCTTTCTCAGCTCTACAGAGGCTTCCAGTCTGCCAGGACGGAGACTTCCCGGCAGACTGGTTGGCACGCTTCTCCAGAGCTGAGCTTGAAGCATCGGCCAAAGAGGCGGAGAAGTGGCGCCAGATGGCCAGGAGAAGGGCCGTTGCAGGTCATGGCGGTCGCTGGGTCGGTAGGTCGCCCGACCTCATCTCTTCGTGGTTGACGATGTTGGAGAGCTGTTCCAAGTGCCAAGAACAGCCTGATCATGTGAGAGTCCAATCATGTTCAATCTCTTAAAATAATGTTTTTGCACTCCTATGATCCACCAACTGCCGCTTCGGAGGAATGCCGCCATCCACAGCTGGAAAGGGTACAAGGAACGTGCATCTCGACTGAGCTCCAAGCAGTTTTCTTGGCTTTGGGATGTCCTGTCAGCTCTGGCACCCACGTTAATCTTCACCATTACGAGGTAGTGTCACAACAGAAATATATAGATAGAACTATTACAAAAGGCTCAAAAGGCTTTGAATTTGCTCCATTTAGATGAATACCATCACAGAAGTTGCTTCTCCTTCTATGGAGTCGTGGTGAATCCACATTATATATCTTGAGAGAGGATTGTGGTCGCTAACTTGACCTCTGACGCAGAGGCCTGGGGCAAAGATGAGATGACACCCGTATCTGGCAATCCAGGTCGTGTATGGGGCAACTTAGGGCTTCAGATGCTTGGATTATCTTGGATTCAGACTTGGCCAGTGCTTGAAGGGTGTAGTGGATGAAGGATGGCGGAAAACAGACGAACAATCAGCCGGCAAAAGACCTGTTCAAGCCCATGATTGCTCATATCAGTGGGCTGGGCAAGCTATTCTGATAGGTGCTGATAGGTGCATGGTCCGCACATCTCCGCCTGTGAACAAGGATTTTGGATGCGCTATCCACTCTTTGGATCATGGATCTCAAGGACGGTGGGGTTTCGCAAGTAAGTTGGCAAACGAAGCGATGCCTTCGCCAGGACGAATTCAACGAAGGTGCTCAGTGGGTAGAGCAGAGCTTGCGGTGCCTTGCCACCGTTTGTCGGTACTTTGCACCTGACATCCTTTTGTTTGTTCTGTTTTTGGTCCTGCAGTATGAAGTTGACAAGATTTGATGTTTTGAGATGCAATGGGCCGTTCTGACATGTTCCACAAAGGTCATTTTTGTGACTTTCCCGAGACGAGGTTTGAGCACTCTGGCTTCGTCTCCTTCTTCGAGATCGTGATCCGTGGTTTAGGTGAGGGTTGACAGTTGGCATCGCATGGCATCGCACTTCTTTCAGCTTTGTTTTCTTTCTTGCATGGCAATGGAAAACCCTGGCGATTGATCAATGGTTGATTTGTTCAGCTGACGGACGAGCATTGGCTCCACTGATCGACCGAGGAGGCCTGCTCTCGGCCCATGCCCTTTCGGGTCGGGAGGTCTTTCTTCGGAAAGCGGAGGACAGCCCATCGATCGGATGCCTTTTTGTCGATGCCTTCACATTCCGCCTGACAGTTGCACAACCGCTTTATTATGTGACCTCCACAGCACGACAAGCCCTTGCTTTTAAAGCTTTATATAATTTCCAATACGGTACATGGAATTTGCTAGAATCATAGGTGAGCAAGAACATGCAAGAGCTGTGTCTTCGTTAACCTCATCCAACTGATGGCCGAGACCGTGTGCTCAAAGTCATGTCTCGTAGAAACAGAACGAAACAGAATGAAATGGATCACAGCTGGAAAGGGAGAACAGGTTTCGACTCAGTGCCTTCAGTGACGAGTTTGTCATTGATTGCTGTATATTGAATATTGCTGTAATCCGACTGAACATATGTTTTGAACATCCGAAAGGCTCCATTGAGTGTCTTGCAGGAGCTTGGTGAAAAGCTGCTAAGGGCCTTTAATCAGCAGACTGGTGGGGAAGCCACAGATGTTGATCATGTTTTCGGCGCTGGCGGCATCAGATAGGAGCTGTAGACATATGGCCAAACAACAGGATGTGTTGCTGTAGATGTGTCTATCATCTTTGTCTATCTTTATCTCAGATTCTAGGTCTTAGCAAGGCTCAGCAAGTAACAACCTTGACAATCATTGGGTTGCAGCCAGCCTGCTGGTAGCTTCTTGATGCGGTGTGCGGCCAGTTCAAGTCAATTGATTGACTCAGCAAGGATTTCCGATGACGCAATTCAACGTCAGGAGATGGGTTTGGAACGGCTGATGTGACTGGGCCACAAATCGCACAGCATGTGGAATCCGAGAGTAGTTCATCCAATGGAGACCATTGAACTCCAGAGCCCCTCGAAGCACGCCAAACAGTTTTATCATTATTATATATATAAATCTAGAAAGGCAATGAGGTGTAGGCTTATTATATACATGTATTACACAAATCTCAAAAACCTTTCTCAGGAAACCTTGAACACACACACACACATGAAACCACATAAATACAATGCACACAAATTCCACACAAATGGCCGCCACGCCTTCGGGACCCGAAGAAATTGTGAAGGGAGGACACGAGGGTACATTGCCAGGACGGGTGAGGGAAAGAAAGGATGGTTCTCTGGAACTTTGCTCGCGGAGGCGCATCTGTTTTGGGTGGGGGAAGGGGCCCAAGTGCGTTGTGAGTTCTGACAGAAAATAAACACAATACATCATCATAGGGGTACTGTATGCTATTGAATCTTTGCGTGTTGCAATCTTCACTGCATGTTCCATTTAGTATTTCTAAGGTCTCTCTCTCTATATATATATATATCATCTCATTGACGTTTCTGCCACAAGTCTACAGTCTCATTGACACCGCACAAGCCTTCATGTAATTCCCAGCCAATTGATTGCACATGTTATAGCATCTAGCAATGTTTCGTGCGTACCGACTCCACCATGTTACCATGTTACCAGGAGAGCGAATTGTGTTTCACCATACAAACAAGCTTTACAGGTAAACATATGGCAACGGGGCTTATCTCAGAACCTCATAAACCAAGCAAAACATTGCAAAATAATGATGACAATCCATCCATTCGAGACAGACCCAGGTACTCTTTGGGTACACTGGGTTGCTGGTGTTTTGCCTTTTTGCTCCCACTCCACATTTAACATTTTCAACCAGGCGGGAACTGTGCAGCTGGAGTTTCGCTACCTTTCGCAGCAGCTGCTCGGACCAGCACACGACAACTGACGATCATTGTGGACGTCGTGGACATTGAGACTCTCCTCAACTTCCCTGGTATACTTGACTCAGACTCCCTACCAACAGAATGTAGAATTCCCAAAACAACATTTAGAACATTTAAGCACCCCAAAAACAGAGTGCCGAGAGACTGAGAGATGGTTTTTGTCTACAGACCAGGTTCCACGTGCATTTTCAGTAGCGCATTGGTGTATCCCTTCTTTTCTCTCTTTCCTTAGGCTTGGAGATGCCAGATTTGCGCAAGCGGGTGACCGAGCTATGCGCCAAATCCTGCAGGCCCCCTTGTGGACCGAGCAACGAATTACTAGTTTTGGGGGGAATGATGGGACTGCAATGTGCTATGGCCCTGGCTATGGCGGTTGTTTTGTCAAGAGATGTCCCTTGTTTAGCTGTCCGCTATCGTTCTTTAACCTTGATGTTGGGGCTGCACTCGCGGTATGCTGATGCTGATGCCTTTCGTTGTGTAGCCTGGAACCAGTTCTTTCACTGTTCCAGGCAGAGAACGGGCAAGGCTTAGTGCCGTGGGGGTTGTCCAACACCGGCACCGCGAGATTTAGCAACAGCAACTCCGGCTGCACATGGTGAGTGGGCATGGGCGCATCCCATCTCCGGCCGCACATTGCATTCATGAGGGGGGGCATCGAGGCTAGCGCAGCTGAGGTCACATCACCTTTGGCGCCATGGGCGATTCTTACTATGAATACCTGCTGAAGTTGTGACTTGGTCCATGATGTAGAAGTTGCCTTTCTGGGAAGCAGAGCACGGCCTTCTCATCCTTCCAAATACGAATGCAATTAGTACCGGGCATGCGCTATTTTCATTGTTGGGTCTCAATGCTCAAGTAGAAGGTTGAGCTTGTCATGAGTGGCAGCCTTGCAATGCAATGCAGCTCTTAGGTATATCCAGTCGGACAAGACTGAACCTGAGTGGAAGGAAGCGACTTGGCTTTTATCCTTCATGATCCCAAAGGCTGTTGCATGATTGCTGTTGCATGATTGCATCGCCTGCTTGCTAGATGGCCCGAAAGTGCCAGTGACACCATCAAATCAGTTTGTTCCTTTAGATTTTTTAGCTATACATATGACTTGCCGCTTTTGCAGCAGAGAACTTCTGATACTGCAGAGTTTGGACATCGGGTCCCGACATGTCTCGACGAATTTCCAACAGCTTCAATCCACCAAGAAGCTGTGGTGGTGGGCTGAGGCATGGAAGAGAGCGATGAACAAAGCGTTCCAGCGCTTGATTTTCACCACTAAAGGCTACGACTATTGGAGAGGGGGGTTAGAAGTGCAAGTGCTAGGCATGCATGGCAGTCATTGGAATGCCTCAATTCACCTCTGTGTTCGTGAAGTTGTGCCAAAGTAAGCAGAAAAGCAACCATGAACGAGCATCATAATGAATCATACTAGTTGGAAGAGACTTACTATTTGACTGCGATTTGGTCCTTTTTCTTTGCAAGGTGGTTTGACTTACATCGCCGAAGAGAAAAACGGCCGAACCGATCACAAGATGGATCACTTGGCTTGCTTTGTAGGCGGCTGGGGCTTGTTGTTCTGCCTGCATCTACCTCTAGACCGTACACCTGCCGTGCACTTGCTTTTGATCTCAACATTGTTGGAGGGCCGGGCTGTGGCCCTGTTGAGTGTTCTCTCGCTTGTTGCGTATTCCGCGAGGACTTGTTGCGTAGATGGCCTCCATTGCAGTTTCATGTCATGGCCGTGTGACGGACTTTGGATCAGAAAATCCAGTCAAGAAGCTCAGTGCGGAGAGGTGGTATGCTCATCTATGGCGCGCGGGAGTTGAAGCCAGAGGAGCTGAGCTGCTTGTGCACTGCAGATCCATGCAGTCGTTGGTTTGAGATTGAAGCCCGCAGATTGAATTTGCACATAGTTGCAGTTAATCAATATCGATTACTTGAACTGGGTTCGAACACAATCTCCCTGAAGGGCCGGCCGCTTTAGTCGAATTTGTGTGTTTGTTTGTTTGCTTGCTCTCTTTTCTTTTTAAAGATGCCACTCGCATACCACAATCAGATGAGAGATGACATGACATGATGTTGAGTGAGTTTGCTTTGACTTCCACGGAAGGGGGTGGCCAAAACCCCACGAGTGACATTTACACACCTGGTCAAGATATCTTGCGACTGCAGCTAGCACCCCTTTGCGATGGCATTGGAGGAGGTTGACTCGCGCTGGGAGAAGACTGCCGCGGGCATCACGGAGACCTGCTATGAGAAGCTTAGGCTTCGAAGAACATTTCTACGAGAACATTTGCGATCATGCCAAACGGATTTGGTTCGTTTTGATTATACAGTAGTTTACTTGCTCCTCCTTACTGCTAGTGATTTCTGTTGAGTAGTTTCCTTTCCATTTTGCACTAATATACTCCTCTTGATTTCGAACACCGCACTTTAATGGTTAATGGACACGGACAAGTGCTGCCTGCAGTATGTATGTATATGTACTGTATATTTTTTATTTGTATATGTAACCACCCCTCAACTCTTCCTGGTTTGAGATGTGATTGGCTTTCCATTTTGTAATGGACAGGAATGTTGTGAAACAATCGCCAGCTGTTTGGACCGCTCAAGAGCTCCGCGTTCTCGAAGCAACCCTCGTAAATAAGAAAGAGGAACATTGGAAATGTCGGAAATGTGAAAAGGACATGAAAGCAGAGCCAGCCAAAAACAACAAGTAGCTGTAGCTGGCCGTAGCAGCAACTGGCGCAGCACCGAGGATGTACAAGCGCCAGCCGACCCATTTGGCCCCGGAAGCGACGCGCTTCAATCCCCAGGGAGCACAGGGTTCAGATATGCGACTTTGCAGCACAGAACTTTGTGGTGAAAATTCTGCAGTGTTTTGTCTCCTCGCACCACTCAAACATACATTTTTTGTGGGTGTTAAGCCCAATTTTTAAACCTTCGTCCTCAGGAGTACCTGGAACAATGCTGGGCAGTATTTGCTACGGCCAGAGGCTGCGGAGGCTGTGAACATGCTATTATGAGCGGCAGGATGTACATGCAGCAAAATATGCGCAGTCGTCTAGATTGAAACAGTAGGGGAGGCTGCCATCAAAATAATGTAGCTTGGCCGTTTTGGACCAACCTGGTCACTGGCCTCAACTCTTGATGCTGCAGTCCATTTTCTACATGTTCTACTACACTGGCGATCCAAAGTATCGACGCTGGGCAGGAGAACTGCATGTTCCTAATCTGATTGCGTTGCTTTGGCAATACTTCACCCAGTGGGCCAACCAAGCAACAGTTGTTGATACTTCCCATGCTTTATGACAAAGATACAGAGCTGCAAACTGTTTCTGACATTTGATGCATGCTGTATTTGCGCATGTCTCTGGGGTGGCTTTGCGATTATGATTATTGTTGGTCACGGCATAAGCCACAACCCACAAAAATGAGATGCTCATTCTCGCAGGAGAGATCATGGAAGCAATTGAAAGGAACTGCAGAGCACCCTATGGCTACAGCCCCTTAGTTCTCATTGGTGACCAGTTGGGGGATAGCATTGATATGTTATTCCTGGTGAGGTGCTATCTCCGATGTGCGTCGCACTCCAGCTGCGAAGCGGAATGAGATGGAGACCTTCTTTTTGGCGGCACCTTGGTCGTGTTGAAATGGTATCGAAAGACAAAGGAAAGCCGATTGTCGCACCATCCCCAATGCCAGGTAGTAACGGTTGTAACGCGGTACATAATTAATTATGTTGGGAGTTTGGGCGAGTGCTATTGAACATTTGTTCCACGAAAGGAAGACAAGCCAGTCGCTTTCCGGCTTTGGAAGATTCTCAAAGATATTCATCAGGGTGGTCAAGTCCTCTAGTCTAGGGGCTAGGGGACTCTAGGGTAACAGGGAGAAGCTAGCTGCTATGAAAAGAAACACAATACAATGCTGATTAGCTGCCATGGTCAATGGGTACATGAAAAGAGGTTAGCTGGGTGGGCTGATGGAGCCAAAGTCATTTAGAGATTTGCATGGCACAATTCAAAGTGAGGAGACTCTCAAGTACTTGTACCTCACCTTTCTTCCAAATCCTCGCTCAGCCGCTTGGTTCACTGGAATAAGCTGGTGGTTGTACATTGTGCATGCCCTTGATATGTCCACATGCACACATGCAATATTTTTGGCTCAAGGCATCTCAAGGTTGTTTATTGCTTCGGGGTAGTGTTCCATGAGTTCACAACTGCCAACCACCATTGCGGCAGGTCTTGAATTTTGAAGACTATGTCCTCACCACTGAAGCACACCCTTTGCCAAGAATGAAAACTGTGGCGAACTCACGTCGGCAGAAGTTCTTGGGCAAGTGACAAGAAGTGTCTATATTCAGTAAAGTTTAATGTTTGATGATGGTCCTTTGTCTCGTTTTCTGGTTCTATATAAATGCTATTTTTTTGGGGGGGATGTCAGCTTTAGGGATACTGTAAATGCATGATTTATCAGTATCTATAATGTGGCCCTCAGATTTATAAAGACCCCTAGAATTATGTATTTTTTTCCCTGCACTGATTTATAAAGGCCCCTAGAATAAAGTCTTTTTTTTGAGGGGTAGTTGTAGTGGAATATTTTTTTATTATTATAGTTTACTTTTTCCCTTTTGATTTGCTTTACTCACCCTCTATTCCTTATTAACTTTTCCTAAGCTCTTTTGTTTTGAAGCTTTCCAAAAGTTTCCAAAAGTCAGTGCGCACTGTCTGTATAAAATCCCTTATTCAAAAGTATTTAAAAACGAAAAAAAACATTCAAGCAAAGGGGGTAGTCCAACAAGCAGCTTTCTGACATTATT